ATGCTATCCCTGAAGCCAGTGCACTTAAGAGTCTATAAAAACAATTCAGGGTCAATAAAAGTCACTATTCTGAATTGCTTAGTGCTAAGACACTCTCAGTGCTGTGACCAAGGGAGGCCCCTCTCACACTCAGATGGCAGAGTGAAGCTTTTATGTAACCAAAATATTCAGAGCAGAAACAGCAGAGCTCTCATTTAAAGGGTCTGTGTTCAGTGGTGGTGACAAAGGGTGCATCTTCTCAAGGAACTCGAGGGTTTTTTTCACATAAAGCCTCCAGATTTCAAGAACACAGTGGGCTGGACTGGAGCTCATGGGGCCAGGGGTGCATCCCCGGGCAGACTGGCCCCCCACACTGCCCCTTTCCACCGCACAGCTGAGGAGCCACAGCCACCCACAAGCTGCTTCTCCAGCACATCAGTGCCCTGGTCCTTCATCCAGCACTCTTCCAGGGCCACAGCACCCGGAGCTCCAGTGCTGCTCCGGAGCTGAGCTGGGAACCAGCGCAATGAAGGGACATGGCTCTGGAGCCCCTCCCCAGCACCAGTCCTGGCAGGGGCTCCGTGGGGCCAGCCTGGGCTCAGGGAACAACTCTGGCCGTGCCAGCACAGTGCACAGAAGCTGCAAGGTGCAGCCTCAGCACTGCGACCACACAAGAGGAAACGTCACCTGAAATCGGACTGCAGCCATCCACAACACTGACGCTGCGCAAGCAACCCAGCACTGCCATTGCTTCCAAAGTTTATGGTTTGCCTCAAATGCAAAGCAGAGAAATCCGGCCCTGAACTCCCACTTGTCACTGCTGTCACCAAGTCCAGGGAGGGAGGGAAAATCACAGCCCTTTTCCTCCCCAGTAAATCCTGCTGATTATGAGCAATAACATCTTGAGGCCTTCACAGCCCCAGCTCATGGATCTGTTAACATGAGACTCCAGTACTGAGAAAGAGACACCCTCAAGGGAGATCATTCCAGAGCAACAAATCCATCAGGAACATGTAAACAGGAGGCACAAAAGCCAACCTCCCATATGCCTCAGTCTGAAACAGTTTGCACAGACAGTTTATCCATCACAGCACGAGCTGCATTTCACCACAGCACCACTGTGGCAAATCTTGGCTTATTCCTTACCTTGATGCCAGATCCAGAAGAGGTGAGCCCGTGTTTTACAGGAATCCATCCATTTCCATGACACTGGGGTTGTTTCCCTTTCCTCAATGTGTGTATCAATAAAGTGAAACACAACACAGGCTCCTGAGGTCCTGAAATCCTTCAGGATTCACTCTTCAGGCACAAGGCTTTGCCCAGCACAGCATACCAGAACTGAGATGAAAGGTTAGGCTACAGTGACTACACACAGAATCATTTATCTTGAGGCATATGGCATTGTATCTCACACATCGAGATATTTTCAGGAACATAAGATCCTTTTGACAATTTCTAAGGCATGACAAAATGTCATCTCAGTAGGAAGCTTCTAATTCCAATTGACTCAATCACAGGTCACAGAAGTTGAATAGAACTTAAAAAGAGAATAATGCTGGAACTGCAGAGAGCAGTTTCACATATGAACCCCTTTTTTCCCTAATATTTTAAAGCATAAAAAGACACTCTTCAAGGATCTTTTTTCTCAAGTTCCGTTTTTTATTAAAGCAAACAAGTTCCAAGGAGCTGCAAGTTTTGCCTCCATCCAAGGACACAAAGAAAGCAAAATATTTGTGGATTTGTGTGGGCAACATCTGACTCTGAAGAAACCCAAACTGAAACAAACAAGAGGTGCACTTCATTCATAAACATTTTCCACTACAAAGGGCTGTAAGTTTTTATACACACTGATATTTTGAGATTGCACGAAAGCACCTCAGCTTCCAGGAGCCTGTACAAATATTATTTCACAGAATCGCAAAGAGGCTGAGGTTGGCACAAGCCTCTGAAGGTCACCTGGCCCACTCCCTGCTTGAGCCAGAGCTGGCTGCCCACGCCTGTGTCCCGATGGTCCCAAACAGCCCCAAGGATGGAGCTCCAACAGCCTCTGAGCAGCCCGGCCCAGTGCTGAGGTCATCCCGACAGAGAAAACCTGGCAGGGTATGAATCTGATTTACAACTCATTTTAACTAATTATTATAAAACACTTTACAGTTCAGGTTTACAAGGAGGCTGATCTATGAGCACAGCATGCCTGCCATGAAAAACTGCAATGGTTGGCTCATCCCGTGACTCAGTGATCCCCAAATGCCCAAAAGGCCTAGTGTTCCAACACCTATCAGTCCTTAGTGAGGAGAACACTCAGGTGGAAGGCAGCCCTGCTGCGCACAGGGATGAGTGCGGGCCCATAGTCTGCAGACACGCCGGCACACGCGCAGCCCGGGCCTGCTCCACACCTACCACACACATCGGCTGTGCAAGCAGGAGGGAAGCCTGTGCCTCTGCTCCGTAGGAGACTGCTGCTTCTCTCTCTCTGGAGAGCAGCTCAGCAAGTCCAGCTCGCATGTAAATCACTGCATTTTCCAATCAGCAGATGTGCCAGGAGTGGAAGCACTGCACAAGGCCAACTCAAAGCCCTCCGAAACCCATCTACAACAGATCTGCAAACTGCATTTCAAACCCAGGCAGGAACAAAGGAAATGAATAGGCTGAATACATCCACATACGTAACTCAGCCTCTCACAGCTCTCTCACAGCTAATAGAGCTCTGCTTTCCAAAATGTGATGAGCCAAGCCCAGGTGAATGCTAGCAGAAGTCATTACCCAGAGGCCAGCATGCAGAGAACTGTCAGCACACCTTCCTCAGCCCACTTGAGCTTTACCTTTACTACAACTTTCGTCCAGCCATCTTACTGAGAGAGACCATCCTCCTCCCCTCCTCCATGCTCTCCTCCTAGAGCCCATTACTAGAGACTCAACAGCAGGTCAGCCTCTCAGAGTCATGAAACTACAGCCCAACAGGCTGGAAGTATCACCTGCACCCTTCTCCATGCCACCCCTCCCTCAGACCCTTTTCCCTCTTTTTTCCATCCTATTTCCATTTGTGAACTCCCACTGTAGTTTTAGATGGTCGCTGCTCCTCCTGAGAAGTGTCCAGCATCAGCAGATGCACGGCAAAGCAGGAGACAAAGCACAGTCTGCTGTCCCTCAGGCAGTGTGGCTGTGGTCATCACTGCAGCTGTGACACTGGTCACTGCTGAGAGACGAGAGCCTGTCTTTTCCCAGCAGCTCCTTTTCTAACAGCTTGGTTTTACCTTGGGAGATGAGTGACAAACACATCTCTCTGCCCACTGCTCCACAGGCCAAGGCCCCAGCATCTGCTGGGGCTGAGCATCATGGCAGGAACAGCCCCTGCTGTCCTGAGATCCCTCCACCTCCAAACCAAGGTGAGAGCAGCCAGCAGATTTCTCCCTGTATCCATTTCTCTTTAGCATTCTGTGCAAGTACCAGCATATGTCGAGGCAGGAGGCAGGGACAAAAGACACAGCCAAGCGCACGCACAACAGAAAAGGCAGCAGCCAAGCTCCAGCATGATGTTCTCAGCCACCTCCCTGAGACCTGGCAGGGTGGCTCCAGGTTTCCCTTTTCCTCACAGATCACACTCGCTAATATAAGCACAAAAGCATCTCCGATCAAATGTCCTGGAATGCCCATGCTGGGACAGCAAACCCCAGTGCCTTTAGCTGTTCCCTAAGCCTGTGCAAACCCCCCAACAGCCCAGGAGCAGCCAAGACCACCACAGGCCCTCCGGAGCCCAGGACTGACAGGATTAGCACAGGCCCCCCGGCAGCCCCGGAGCAAGCAGGGCCCTGCAGTGGGCCCAGCCACCTGCAGGGTGAGGCAATGCACCGGAGCTGGCCCAAAGCTGCCTGGGGACTGGTGCCAGCCACCGCTGTGCTCACACGAAGGCTTACGGAAACAGCCCAGGGAAGAGAAGGTTCTCCTCTGCTGTTGTGCTCGCTATCTACATCACCCAACGCTCCTGCAACGCCCTCTCCTCTCCCCTACCTTCACACACATGCAGAGCATTTGCAACCATTCTGCTCTCAGCTTTATAATTTAACAACAACAGAATGACACCCCCCGTTACCAAAACACCCACTCCTGCCCAGGAACCTCCTTCCCAATGAGAATTAAACATCACAGTCATCCAGACCCAGTGCTGCTGAAACACACCAGGTAAGAAACACTGTCACTTTCACAAGGCAGAAGATGTTTTTAATGTTTTTTCTACACCACAAACAGACTGACACATCGCCCGTTGTGTTCAGCCCCACAAAACCGGAAGCAATGCTGTTGTAATTACTATTCACTCCTGTAAAAATAAAAGATATACGAGCACTCCTAACAGGCGATACCCTGAAACCACAGCCCAGTAATGCAGCCTTGCCCATTGCTGATGCTCTATGACACTGGCTCCTAAGAAAAGGAGCACCTGACCAAGGCAATGAAACAAAAAGGGCATTAAGTAAGATTTTTAACATTCACCTAAAGTAAACTGGACTGTTCTGTATGATTTGTTTGATTCGCAGAAGACATCGGCTGATAAAGCCGGCACACGGCGATTAGCTATCGCGGGTCCTACCCCGCTTATCAGCCCCATCTGCATTGGGGCCAGGCTGTGTCTGACACAGTACCCGGCGCACCGGCCCGGCGGCTGCTCCGCTCCGGCCCCGCGGCCGCTCCCCGGGGACACCGGCAGCGCTGCGGGGAGGAGGCGGAGAGGGGCTGCCGCCCCCGCCCGCAGCACCGCCGGCCGTGGCTCTTTGTTCGCCGCCGGCCCCACCGAGGCACCCGCGGGCTCTGGGCGGCCGCACCTGCCGAGGGTGCGGGCAGCGCTCCCCGGGCCGGGCCGCCCCTGGGCAAGTGGCCGCTGCGGGAGGGGCGCGGAGCCCTGCGGGGCGGGCAAAGCTTGCCCTCCCGGACCGACCGTCGACCTTCGCCCGGCTCCCGAGCCTCAGCCGCGGCTCCCGCCGACGGGGCCCGGCACACCCCAAACCAGCCCGTCCGCGCCGACCCACCTCGTCCTCCGAGAGCCCGTACACCGGTTCCGCCGCCGCGGTCGCCATGGAGCCGCTCCCGGGCCCGCCGAGCCGCCCGCCGCCGCCTTCTCCTCCTCCTCCTTCTCCTGCTGCCGCCGCTGGCCCGCGGGCGGCGGAAGACGCCGGGAGCCGAGCCCGGCGGAAAGGGGCCAGGGGCGGGGCCGCCGGGGGCGGGCGGCGCGAGGGATGCGCGCGCTCGGGGGCAGCGGGCGCGTGTGGCAGGCGCCCCCCAGCGGGCGGGAGCGGCGCCGCTGGGCCCGGACTGCGAGAGCGCTCCCAGCGCGGGACCCGGCCGTGTCCCGGGATGTGTCCCGGGATGTGTCCCCGAGCGGGGCCCGGGCCGTGTCCCGGGATGTGTCCCGGGATGTGTCCCCGAGCGGGCCCGGGCTGGGCAGGAGCGAAGCCCCCGCTGCTCGCGGCTGTCCGGAGCAGTCGGAGGTGTTCGCTCCCTGCGGCATTTCTTCCCTCACCATCACGACTTTTAGGGAAACAAAGCCCTGTGGGCACTTGGAGCGAGGGCACTTCTGGGCACAATCGAGTCCCGCTTTAGCTCTGAAGGAGCTTGGATCTGTTTCGTGCCCCTCCTGTGCCAGTGTCCCGTTTATGATCTCCCGGTTTCTCCTGGCGCTGCGGCGCTGCTCCAGTGCACGCTGCTGAGGGAGTTCCGTGCAGCGGTGCCCAGACACGTTCGTGCTGTGCTGCACTCACCCTTAGGAGCACAATGTGTGACCAGAGGCGCGTGGGCCACTGGCACGGGACAGATGTGCCACCACAGCCCAGCTGGAGGCTGTTCTGCACACTTCAGGCAGCCCGCCTCTGTGTGCCCAGGTGCTTTGTGCCCCTTTCACTGAGCACAACGGGGAAAAGGAGATCCCTTTTTCTGGGGAGATTCCACAGCAGTCCGTAGGCCAGGAAGCGTTTTCCCAGCCTTTCTGGGGCGGGAAGGGTGTGACCTCTGCCCAGCCAGCGGTGCCTCGGAGCTGAGCGCGAGCTGTTCAAGGCCAGCCCGGGAGACATCAGCCTTTGCACTGGCACGGTCCCTCCCGGCCACGAAGCACGCGTGGTGTGCAGGGCCTGCCCCAGCAGCACGGCCAGGCTGCTCCTGCCTGCTGGCCAAGGCCGGGAGCACCTGGGATCGTCCCACAGATGATCCTGTCTGATCCCTCTTTGTTCCGAGCTCAGCACATCATTCCCAGCTCTGCAGGTAGCTTTGCCCCCCCTGTTTTCACTCACCTATTGGTTGCCTTAACAGAAGCATCTCCGCCGCCTCTCATCCCCTGGATAGATGGAAAACCAGGATTTGGGGAATCCTTCCATTCAGTCCGTGAACACAGCTCAGTTCTTTCCCTCCCGTATCTTTCTGTGCTGACACCAGGAGTTGGAAACCATCAGCATCCTGCATGTTCCTATCCAAGAACGTTTGTTTCTGAGGGGCAGAATGAAAAAGAAGCAGTGGATGTAATTCAGCAGCTCTAGGGGGACTGATCCCAGCACTGTAAAGATGGTGATATGTGGAAATCTCAGAACCCAGATCTTTTCTGCAGCACGTGTTGGTGTCCCTCTGAAATCACATCCGTGCTTTTTCCTTGCATGGATGTGATTTTAGATTTTCACAGCGCCTGGACAGGCAGCCAGCATTCCCACTAACAGGTGCTCCCCAGGGAAAAGCACACCTGTACAGGAGCAGAAAGAAAGGATCTCTGAGGCCAGAGCAGAAAATTAGCACCACTAACAACTCAGACGGATTGCAAAGCTTTAGTGTCAAATCCAGGCTGCAGATTACTTGTTTGTTTGCATACATAATTCCTCTTTGGAACTGTGTTTACAGTAATAGATGGCCCCGGAGACACGTAATTCATGTGATAATGCTGACATCAGAAATCTCCAGGTGCAGCTGGGGTGATTTATAACTGGCCTCTTTATAGAGCCAAGGCCCATGAATTATTTACAATTTTCAGAGAAAAGCAGATTTAGTGTGTCCACCCACCTGTGCAGAGGGAGCAGTGGGATGGGGAGGGTGCAGCTGGAGAGCAGCAGCTGCCCCCGGGCACGGGGACGTGAGGACAGTGTGGAGTGCAGTCACCCCTGCTCTTTGCTTCCCTGCTGGACTTAACTGTACCAGCTGTTACCCAAATATTGGGAGGTGCTGCTTCGAAGGTCACTGTAACATGCCAGTAGAGAGACTTTACACTGTAAATCCCTGGTACTTTTAATCGTCTGCTGACTGCAGACACGAAGAGAATCCAAATAAACCATGATCTTCCCAAATACAGATGGTTTGGATTTTAGAGAATTGGCTTGAACAGATTAATAGAGCCCCGACCTAAGCAGAAAATGCTCTTTAGGAAATGAGCTGGATGCTTCCAGCTCACCAAACAGCATTATGAGAGCAAACTGCTGCCAGAGGCTGCCCAGAATGACTTGCTTTTTGCTGTTCAATTTATTATTTATTTATTCCCAACAGCTCTGGTGAAATACAAAATGGGAGTGCAGAGGTGAAAATCACCCAGACGAGGCTCCCTTAGGTTTGATGTGGCACCAGCTGCACATGGAGTTTGGTAATTCCTGTATCTTTTAAATGATTGTTGTACTTCAGAGACTGCCAAGGGGTATTTAAAATGTTCTATTCACACTGCATTACTCATTCCAGTGAACTTAACAAATCATAAAAGTATAGTGGCAAGGTACAGATTTGATCTGATTGGCTCTTCCATCGTGGTTTAAAACAGGATTTCATGATTTCTGCAGAGGAGGAAATAAAATCTGCATCACACTGGGCTGAAATGAGGCTGTGTACAGACACACCTCAGCATCGTTCAATATTTAATGGTGTTACTTAACAATTTTTTGCTGAAAAAAGGCTTTTTCCCACTGCAAAGCTTCTCGCTAGTGATGATTTTTCTCCTTCCTTCTGGAAAAATTTCATAAGAAATGTTAATATTTTATCAGGTTGCTGTTGGACTAACATAATTGCCTCTGTGTTCTCAGCATATACCTTCCTTGAAGCATTATTGAAATGGCTGGGGGCTGAGCATGGTTCAGAACACAGAAAACTAGTAAAAGATTAACTATTTAAAAACGTGTCAGTATTTTATAATGTATTATTGAGAATGTGATCGAAAACTCATCAAAGCTATAAGCCAAGTTGAATCAAGCTCCCACAAAACATAAATTGTTAATTGCTTTTCAGTTCCCAGTGACAATATAACACTGCAGGCATGAGCAAGGAAAGAAAGATTAACCCTGGAGAAGTCGAGAGAAGCCCTGTGTTTGTGTCAGCCGTTGGCAGTTTACAGGAAAGGAAAAACCCAACGTTTTGGGGCTATTTAAAGAGTAATAATAGAATTGCACGAGGTGTGGTGCCACAGCGATTTGGACAGGGGCTGCTAATTGTTCTGGAAGGCCTTTGATACAGGCACTGGTCTGTTTTCCAGACAATTCCTTCCAGCTCAGTCTCCCACAGCGTGGAAGCATTCTGGATGCTGTGGGAGTGGAAGGGCCAGGTCCCAGGGAGCACAGAGCAGGGGCTTTTCTTCCAGCTCAGTACTTAACCTGAGGATGTTTTACCTTGCTTAGCCCCTGACCAATCCAAATGCCATGAGTTTTGTTCTCTGGACTCTTCCTTTCTCTTGGATTTCACATTCTGTGTTAACACACCTTGGGTTTGCTGGGATGAGTGTGGAACTGAGAATCACAGGCAGGCATCCCTGGGGAGGACAGCAAAGAGAGAGAGAGGAAAAATGAAACGAAACCCGAAGCATCTATGGAAGCAAAGTTGCTCAGCAAATTTACCCCGTGTCAGGCTCACTGAGCAGTGTGTGAGTCCTGGCTGCCTGTGACACTGGGTGGGTGGCAGGGAGGGAGAGCATCCAGCAGACCTGGGCTTGGTTCTGGGCTAGGAGGAGCTTTCCACAGCTTCCATGGGGATGGGGGAGAGTCACGGGGGCCTCTAATCTTTGGGGCATCTCCCAAGCAATGCTGTCCCTCCTGTTCCACCACACCACAAACCACTGCAGGGACAGGAGCTCTCCCTGGTGCTCACCCCTTGAGGGAGGAAAAAAGCCCAGACCTAAAGGACTTGTGTAATTAACATTCAGGCTCATCATGCTTGGTCTCTGGAACTGGCCAGAGTGGAAAATTCCCTCCTTCTGCTGGCCTCTCTGTAATTCTGTCATTTGATTTCTCCTGGTTCTTATATTATGGTACACAGGGAGTATCAGCTGTCCATCTTCTCCAGGGATTTGTGCTTTTACAGCCCCTCTCCTTCAGACCCTGTCCTGCTGCAAATCTGTAGCACATCCAGTCCCTCTAAGATCCCCAGCTTTCAAACAATCCATTTCAGTTCTAAGCAGAGCTTTGCAATCCTCATCTCCTTTTCCTTCCCTCCCAGCCTGTTCCAGGGTGGCTCTTTGGGAGTAAGAGCCATGACAAACACCACCCAGAGACAACAGACCTGCACCTTCCTGTAAAGCCCTTTTTGGCTGCTGCTTTGGTACTTTGCTACCCCACCAAACATGGCTTTTCTTAGCTCACATCCTGCTAAAGCTGGTGTGCCACCTGAAGGGCTGTCACCACACCACCCCAACACACGGCCACGGTTGCTTGTCTTGCTCATTTTTTTGCAGGATTATCAACAGGGAATTTGCACTAAAATCCCTCTCTGCTGAGCTTTAAGGAGACATTGCCGTGTTCAAACTGGAGAGCTCTGGGAAGGAGCCCAGCTTTTGTAAATCCTCCATCATTCCTGCCCCAAACTGTAATCAGCACACCCATCCCACTGGAATTCCAAATCAGCAGGCATATCTCCTTTCAGGGTGGAGATTTCTCCTCACTTTGGGTTTCGTAAGGCCGGTGTTTGGGTTGCAGCTGACAATCATTTCTCCTGTGTCTGCAGGGCACGGAATGGCTTCTCCCATTCCAAATGCCAAAGGCAGCACAGTAGCTTTGTGGAGGTTTAGCCAAGTTAGGACAAGTCCTCCTCCTCCAGGGAGGTTTTGGAAGCACGAGGAGAACAGATTTTCTCACAATGGGCTATCCCTACTTTTAACGTCATCTTTTTAAAGGAGAATTTGTTCTCTTACCTCAAATCCAGACAGCCTCAGGATTTTTACTTCTTGTA